AGGGACTCTCCGGAAGATCTTAGGGTCCTGGTGGGCTGATAGGCTGAGATACGTTCGGATAGATAAGTTGGGCCAGAACCGTTTAGGGCTTTAAAGGCCAACGCCAGCACCTTGAATTGAGCCCGGTAGCATATCGGCAGCCAGTGGAGCTGGTTCAGCAAGGGAGTTGTATGCTCCCTGCGATGGCTCCTGTTAAAAACATGGCTGCCGCCCGTTGGACTAACTGGAGCTTCCGGACTGTCTTCAAAGGCAAACCCACGTAGAGAGCGTTGCAGTAATCAAGGCGGGATGTAACCAGAGCGTGGACTACCGTGGCTAAGTCGGGCTTCCCAAGGTACGGTCGCAGTTGGCGCACAAGTTTTAACTGTGCGAATGCTCCCCTGGTCACCGCCGAAACCTGGGGTTCCAGGCTCAGCGATGAGTCCAGGATCACACCCAAACTGCGAACCTGTGTCTTCAGGGGGAGTGCGACCCCATCCAACACAGGCTGTAATCCTATACCCTGTTCGGCCTTACGACTAACCAGGAGTACCTCTGTCTTGTCTGGATTCAATTTCAATTTGTTCGCCCCCATCCAGACCGTCACAGCGGCCAAGCACCGGTTCAGGACCTCGACAGCCTCCTTAGTAGCAGGTGGAAAGGAGTGACAGAGTTGGACATCATCCGTGTACAGATGACATCGCATTCCGAAACTTCGGATGATCTTGCCCAGCGGCTTCATGTAGATGTTAAACAACATGGGAGACAGTATTGAACCCTGAGGAACCCCACAAGACAAAGGTTGTGGGGTTGAACAGGAGTCTCCCCATAACACCATCTGGGACCGACCCTCGAGGAATGAGCGGAGCCACTGCAAAACAGTACCTCCAAGACCCATCCCCGCGAGGCGTCCCAGAAGGATACCGTGATCAACGGTATCGAAGGCCGCTGAGAGGTCGAGCAGCACCAACAGGGACACACTCCCCCTGTCGAGCTCCCGACGCAGATCATCCACTAAGGCGACCAAGGCTGTCTCGGTACCATGCCCGGGCCCGAAAGCCAGACTGTGCCGGATCTAGATAATCCGTGTCTACCAAGAATGCCTGGAGTTGTGAGGCCACCACACGTTCCAGGACTTTGCCCAAAAAGGGGAGATTGGAAACAGGCCGATAGTTGACGAATTGAGTGGGGTCCAGTGATGGCTTCTTCAACAGCGGTTTTATTACAGCTTGCTTTAAGCTGGCTGGAATTTTGCCTTCCCGAAGGGAGGCATTCACCACCACCTTCACCCACTCGGCCAAACCCCCTCTGGCCTCCTTTAGAAGCCAGGATGGGCAGGGGTCTAGGATGCATGTGGTAGCTCTCATTCCTCCAAGCACCTTGTCCACATCCTCGGATTGAACCAATTGAAATGAATCCATCAAAACCGGACAAGCAGATGCTCGTGTTACATCCTCAGAGACTGCCGTTAATATGGTGTCCAGACCAGAGCGGATCAAAGCGACTTTGTCTGCAAAGAACTGAGCAAAGGCTTCACAGCGAACTGCCGAGTCATCAGGGCACCCATCCTGGATGGTGGGTTTTAAAAGGCCTCTGACAACTCGGAACAGTTCAGCCGGACGGTTCTTTGCAGACGCAATAGTAGCCGCAAAGAAGATTTTCTTTGCGGCCTTTATTGCCGCGGCATATGCCCTTAAAAAGGACACAAACCGTGTTCGGTTTGGCTCGCTCGGATCCGAACGCCACACGCTCTCTAGTTCCCTCTTCTTTCGCTTCAACGCTGCCAGCTCCTCGGTAAACCAAGGGGCTGGTTTAGCTCGGCTACTTGAGAGGGGACGTTCTGGAGCGATCGTGTCTATTGCCCTAGTCATCTCCCCATTCCAGAGAGCGACCAGAGCATCAACAGGATCACCAACCACGGTGGCGGGAAAGTCCCCAAGAGCCATCAGGAAACCGTCCGGATCCATAAGCCTCCTAGGGCGGACCAATTTAATAGGTCCTCCACCTCTGCGGAGGTTAGGGGGTGCAGCAAGTCTAAAACTGACCAGGTGGTGGTCGGTCCATGGCAACGGAGAGATGGATAACTCCTCAACACCGCCACCTTCCTCCCATCCCTGACAGAAAACCAAGTCCAATGTATGTCCAGCACTGTGGGTGGGGCCAGATACTTGTTGGGACAGCCCCATGGTTGCCATGGTAGACATGAAGTCCTGAGCCGCTCCCGATGAGGCGGACTCGGCATGGATGTTGAAGTCCCCCAGCACAAGCAGCCGTTGGGACTCCAACACCAGGTCCGAGACCACCCCCGCTAGCTCAGTCAGGGAGTCTGTAGTGCAGCGAGGTGGCCGGTACACTAGCAGAATCCCTAATCTGTCCCGGTCTCCCACCCTCAGGTAGACGCATTCAAATTTTGTTGACTGTGGGATGGGGGCCCTGGTCAGAGGAATGGTATCTCTATAGACCACTGCAACCCCGCCTCCCCGCCCTCCGGATCTCGGTTGGTGCTGCACAGAGAACCCTGGTGGGCAAAGCTGGGTTAAGTTTACACCTCCCGCTTCGTCCAACCAGGTCTCTGTGATGCAACTTAAAAATATACCAGTTCCAACTTACAAATAAATTCAACTTAAGAACAAACCTACAGGACCTATCTTGTTCATAACTTGGGGACTGCGTGTACCTATATACTATGTAACAAAATGTTTTATATGACTCCAATCTCTCATCTTTTTGCTGTACATGATAGCAAAAAGCAAAGAAGTGACAGAAAAGCTTCACAGGTGCCTGTATACAATACATTATTCTATTTTTTGTTAGGTGTCTGGAGACACTTAATACATTTCAACCTTACCTCCTCTTATTTCTGCTTTTTCTATAGTAAATCATTATAAACATCATAACCTTTCCTGACAAAAGCAGTAATTCTAGCCCATTGGACATTATGTTTGCCATTATCTAATTTTTTTGTCATGTCAGGAGTGACCTGAGAAACTGCAAGTTGCGTCTGGTGTGAGAGAATTGGCCATCTGAAAGGATGTTGCCCAGGGGACGCCCGGATGATTTGGTGTTTTATCATCCTTGTGGGAGGCTTCTCTCATGTCACCGCATGGGGAGCTGGAGCTGATAGAGGGAGCTCATCCGCCTCTCCCCGGATTTGAACCTGCAACCTGTCGGTCTTCAGTCCTGCCGGCACAGGGGTTTAACCCACTGCACCACCAAGGGCTCCGCCATTATCTAATGCAATGTTGGGATTTGTGCATTTGCAAATTCACCAGTTTCTAGGGGTTATACTGGGGAGAAAGGAAATGCATTTAAACCCATGCATGATTCCACTTTCCTTAAAACAGTGGTTCTTAACCTGTGGGCTGCAAACCACCAGTGGGCCACGAGGATGAAAATCTAGTCCACAAAACTTCTTCCTCTTTATTTTATTTTATTTCTGCTCCTTTTGCACTGCCTGCCACTCCTTCCCTGTCGCTGACCATGGTATATGTTCTGCATCAGAAACTAGAAGTGATGTGGTCTATCCAATGCAATTTTCTGAATCAGCACCCCGAACCAAATCTAAAGTTGACCAAAAACTGGTTCATAACCCTTCTGGTACTAATGTTGGAGAATGGTCCCTGGTCAAAGTGGTCCCTGGTCCAAAAAAGGTTGTAAACTATAAAGATCAACCTAATGTTTTAAGCATAGTTATATCAGTTTAGAAGCACAACAGAAGCTTACTTTTGTTATAAGTGGATTATTCCAACTAATGAAGACCCTATCATGGTCTTGGCAAGAGCCAGAGGTCATTTCTCATTGCCTTCCTCTGAGGCTGAGGGAATGTGAGTTGTCCAGTGCCACCCAGTGGGTTTCAATGTTTGAGCAGGGATCTGTAGTTTGGTTTCACAAAGTCCTAGTTTGTCCAGCACTCAGCCTAGAATAAGGGAAACTGACTATGCACTGCTAATTGGTTGCTGCCCTTCAACGTCTCCAAGCAAATTCGCAGTCTACACATAGAGCACGTTTGCTCTTTAACAAATGTTTTAATACTTTCTTACCCTGGTACCACTTTCTTACCCTGATCAACATCTGTGTACCATTACTTCCCCAGACATACATCAAGAAACCAGCCAACCTAAAGCAGGGGATTAACTCAGATGCACTCATGAATGGTGTCATATTTGCTAATCACTCAACTCATGCAGCTAAGCTCTATCAGTCCTGAAGATTGTCCTCATACAATGCAATCATATAAATGGCTACATAGACATACATTCTCCTGACATAGTCCTATGTGAATGTAAGCTTGTACATTCATGCAGTAACATCATTTACTCTATTCCAATATTCAGGCTGTAAGCACCTTTTTATAGAACACAAGCAGATCCATATATAATAGATACATAATAGATAACTGACTGTGCTGTTGCTATGTATAGTAATTTGCACATAACAACATGCAAACTGCCTTTAAGGAAAATTTGAACATTTAGGGAAATTACTGTATATACTCATATATAAGTTGACCTTAAGTATAAATCAAGGCCAAGTTTTGGGACCAAAATAACAATTTTAATATGACCTGTAGATAAGTCATTCCACAGATAAGACAAAGACCAAATTCCTCCATAGAGGGAAAACCACCCATGACCACCATCTCCATTTCCCCATCCAGGCATTCAAAAGGGTCATGGGCAAAGCCACAGTGGAGAGTAGCAGGGATTGGTGCCTCTTTTAGGTTCTCCTGGGATGGACTAAGCTCTTGCCATTCATCACTCTACTCAGATAAGGGGATGGTTCCCTTTTTTTTGGTAAGAGTTTAAGGTACAGTACCCACACTGAATGTGGATAAGTTGCCCCATGTATTTGGGGGCAGGGGGTGGGTGGCTTGACAAATATTTCTAGAACTATAGATTTGTATATAGGGTAAGTTCACTATGAACAAAGCTGGTATCACCTAGACAGGAATGAAAAATGTAATATATATAAATATTGCCAGAGATCATGCAGCTATAAGCTTCTCTTACCTGCCAAAGTACCTTTTAATGTAGGGCTGTCATCTGTAACAAACCCAGTCAGAATACTGCATGTGGGCTTTGGCTTGTGTACTTGCAAATGTTCCATGGAATGCACACAATCTATCTGATTAACTTCCCTTGGCTGAGTGTTTCCAGTGGAGTCCGAGAACTGTGGAAGGTGTTCATTATGTCTGGCCACTTTAATTAGACAGTTCCCAGAGGGCAGCTTGTAATTAATGGCTTGAGAGTCAGAGCGATCAGCATTTCCACTTTGGAAACAAGGGAAGTCAGGCTCATCATCTTCAGGGATAGGATTATACCATATTTCTCCTTCATCATCTGCATCATTATCTTCGCTGAAATCCAAAGCATGGTTTTGCAGTGTCAAATGGTTCATCCCATTCTCAGCAGCATGTAGAAAATTGACTGTTCTTTTAGGGCTTTCATGCCCTAGCAGTTTCTTGGGAAAACTCTGAGATATCTTCGGCTCAAGCAAGGGACTTGGAAATTTCAATGCACGGTGGCTTTCGCCTGAAGTTTTCTTATACGTATTTCCTTTTTCCAAATTTGATACCCTTGGAGAACTTTGATGCAGCCAGTTCCGCTTCTTGGACACAGTGATGCTTGCAAACCGGGGCCGGCACTCAGTGCCTTCATTGGCCTTAAAGGTCTTAAGTTCCCTTCTGCTCACAGAAGGTATGTAAACATTTTCAATCAAATCTGTAAAGGGATGAAAAGTTAAATGCATTAGTCCAGACTTTAAGTATGCATTACTAGAATCTATGTTACACAAACTTCCCTAAAAAGCTGCCCTGGAAATTCGATTTTAGCTACCAAGACAAGAAGGGTCAAACTTACCCTGCAATTGTAGAATATCAATATATACAGTTTAATTGTGACAGATTTGCTAAGCAAACAGACAAGTGGAAATAGAGGTTTAAAAAAAACCCACTAACAAACATATGACTTGCTCACTGGTTTACACCACAGATTGAATGCTTTTTTAAAAAGTCAGGTAAGTATGCAGCAAATGTTTTTTTCAGTCTTTGTGACACATCATTAATTGCCGGTGGTGCAATGGATTAAACCCTTGTGTCAACATGACTGAAGACCGACAGGTCGCAGGTTCAAATTTGGGGAGAGCATGGATGAGCTCCCTCTGTCAGTTCCAGCTCCCCATGCAGGGACATGAGAGAAGCCTCCCATAAGAATGGTAAAAAATCAAAACATCCGGGTGTCCCCTGGGCAATGTCCTTGCAGACAGCCAATTCTCTCACACCAAAAGCGACTTGAAGTTTCTCAAGTCGCTACTGACACAAAAAAAGTCATTACTTAGAAGAGGCTTCATTATGTGGTATTATGTGCTTTAGCAATCTGGTTTCGTTTCATATTTGCTTCCCCCTATCATTTTCAGCAGAGCCCCCGGGGGTGTGGGTTAAACCATTGAGCTGCTGAATCTGCTGATGGAAAGGTCAGCGGTTTGAATCCAAGGAGCGGGGTGCGCTCCCACTGGTGGGAAGATAACAGTGCTCCATGTAGTCATGCCAGCCACATGACCTTGGAGGCGTCTACAGACAACGCTGGCTCTTCGGTTTAGAAATGGAGATCAGCACCACCACCCAGAGTCGGACTCGACTAGACTTAATATCAAGGGGAAACCTTAACTTTATTGTTTTCAGCAAGTAAATTGGCTCCAGACTCAGACATAAGTTAACTCATGTTCTATTGATTTTAAATGGTTTGTTCTAAGTATGGTTGTTTTTAAACCTACAGTTGAGATCCTATCCAGTAAGTGGATAGCATAAATCTTCAGAGGTGCAACAATGCTGAAATAATACTGGGTCTTACAGTTACACAACGAGATAGAGCAACAGATGACAATGCCTTAGCTTGTCCAATTGTGCTGTGACAATAACATCTGCACAACCCTCTAGAAAATACAACTATTTCAATAATGGTATTTACTCCAATAGTAAATCACCTTACAGTCAATAACTGTAAGGATTATTAAAGCTGCTTAATAGGTACACAGTCCTAAAGTCAGCCAATACAGCTCTGATTGCATTTTGCACTTTGCAATTTGCACTGATTGCATTTTGGACAGCCCATAAGTGAGGTTAATAATTGCAAAAAGTGTTTACAAAGGCTGTACTTTTTAAAAGACAATATACTGAAGCACTAGGTATCAATAGAAATGTTTTAATGCTGTATTCTAATAATATTTACAAGTGGAAAAACTGGCCTTCAGATGGCATTGAACTCGCTGGAATTTACTTCCAAGTAAACAGTGAAGGATCAAGCTGCAGATATCTCTTCCGAATACTACTCATGTTTACTCAGAGGCCCAACGGATTGTAGTGGAACATATGCCAAGTGTGCCTAACCCAATACCAAGTCTGTTTACTTAGAGAAAAGTTTCACGGGATTCAACAGAGCTTACGAGGAGCTCTGTAGCCCGAGTTTCACAGAAGGCCAATTGAGATTGGGTTTGGAAACTACAATCCAAAGGAAAGCAGAAGACACATCAGAATCCCATAAAAACGGAATCAACACTTCATAACTTCAAATTATTTCAAACACTGAAGGCTCCATTTACACAGCATAGTTTAGCAGAGTATTTAAGTGTGTTTTTGTGCCACTTCAAGTTTTCAAATAGAGGCCACTGTACATGGAAAATGAGGAGATTTTTAAAAATCGTGTGTGTTTGTGTGTGTGAAAGAACCTACTAAAAGGAGTCAAGCAGCACACTACACATCTGTCTATAAGGCCTGAAAGGCTCTACTGTTTCACACACATATAAAGTCCTGATCAGAGCAGCACTCAAAAGAGTCAAGAGTTGCTTGATTTTTGACTACATGCAATATAGGTGTAGCTTGTGCATATTATACAACAGTGTTTGTGTGTGTGATTAAAAGGCAAACTGGCAGTATTTCCCCAAATTTATCTTGGATCCGAGATGGATGTAGCTGATATATATGTTTTACTGGAGTGATTAAAAAGCTGAACTGAAAAAATGTAAGACGAAAAATGTTATGCTTTTGCTCACATTAACATGCGTGTGTTTGTTATCTGGTTTGGCATGCAGGTATTTCATGGATGTTGTTCCACCACAACACCAGGGAGAGACCCCATGGGCTGCGGTGAATGTAAGAGGCTGCATATTTTGACAGCTAAATCCTCAAATATGACCAGATTCACTGACAGCAGCAATGTGTTCACATAATTGCAAACGATACCACGGCCGTGTCTGAACCTGCAGCACATTCCAAGAACAGACATCGCAACAAGGGGAATCTGTCCCCTCCCCAAGATTTCATACTTTACTTACATTTCTTGATAAATGTTAGTTTATGATACAGTGTAGTTAGCATCACCCACCAAGAGACAAGATTCTTGACTAGTAAAGCTTTCATCCTTCTCTATGCAAAACGTATGAAGAATGAAAAATGCCAGATGTAATTAAAGAATCACAGAGTGTGATTCAGTGTTACATCTTCTCAGGGAGACCTTGGAAAACTCAATTTTGGGGTACAACATCCAGAATCCCCCAGCCAGAAGTCCCATGCCAACCTGGGAATTCTGGAAGATGCACAAAAACAAAATCCCTCCTTATGCACAAACTTGCCATCCCTTACAAGCTAACAAGCTAAAGAAAACTTGGCAAAACTGTTACAAATTTTAAATGACTAAAGTTAGCAGTGAATCCTGCTGCCTATCTCATTGGATTAACTCTTCTAGTGTGGGCTGAAAGAATGCCATTTAACCTGATATAGGCCATATGCAATTACTTTTCATTTGCACTTTGGATGAGTCACATACTCTCAGCCCCAGAATGTCTAATGATAGATTACTTTAGGGCTCCCATAAATTGGGAATGACTTGATGGAACACAGCAAATTGGTTATAGTTATTGTGAGGTATGTAATATGTGAAAAAACTGCAGGAGCAACTGTGTCTATTAATGCATTCTTCTTCCAGTGTCTCGCCAAACACCTTTTATTATCTAATCTTCAGTTTTAAGTTTCTGGACAGAAGATAAGCAGTATACTAAAGAAATATTCACCAGGAAGTCAGCTGTTTTAATTTCAATTCAGAAATGAAGATAACTTGGGGAAAAGTGTTATTATATTGTCCTCCCCCTTAGGTTCATGATCAACAAGAGTTTTGTGTGTGTGTGTGTGTGTATAGGAATATGTGTTCCCTTTTAATTAGTTTAATAAAGGTATAGCCTTAATAGTGATAACAGAATATACATCCAGCCTGTTATTTATTCCTCCAAACCATACTAATAGTGATCTGCCTCAGAAATGGTTTCTGATTATATTTTATATTTTTAAGCAAGCAGACATGATCCTTGTAAAATAAACTGAATTGCCCACTGCATAGTGAAGATATTTTATATTTCATTGTATTTAACTATAACCCAGAAGCCACTATTCTGTGGGATGAGAAACATTATCTACATATCAACCTATGGTTTGAAAACCAGTCTATTTCTTTTACTCTGACTGTTCAAGCCTGTACAATTAACAAATACCTTGTGATTATATGTCTTCTAACTTTCGTACGCCTGTAAAACAATACACAGAATGTAATATGATTGTACAACCAATACTTAGAATGTTTTTGCTAATTATATTTTTCTGAAGGAGTGTTATGCAATAAACGCAGGAGGATTTAGAGCAATGAAACTTTAAACCAAGCATAATCCTGGAACAGGACTTAAAACAAAGCTGGGAGGGGAAAGCCACCCTTGAAGAGCACTTTCCACTACAGCTATTTTAGTTGCATTGGAAAGTTAAAACATGAAAGAAGCCCTACTAGAAAGTAGCTGCTTCTCGTAGTTAATAGGGACCACACACTGTTAAGAGGGCAAGAAAATAAGTACTTAAATTCCTACAAACTTAACTTTGAGGAGGTTCATAAATTATAAAAAGCACAAGCACCTGGTAATGTTAGTATCCTTTTTACATGAACACGAATACTGCAAGAGACTAGAATCATGCTCCACCTCTGTCTGAGCACCTGGGTTTTTCAAGCAAGATCTAAAGAGTACACTGATATTACTAAAATTTTACCAGGTTTGAAAAAGAGAGAATTTTGACAGATATCTGTGCTGAAATGCTCTGCCCCAGCATAGGAAAAACATGGTTGTCTTCTTTTGTACCTAGTCATTTTAGCAAGATCCAAAAATATTCACAGTTTCACCTAGCATTCTCAGTGAAACATCATTATGAGAGCACGGTAAAGATTTCCCCTGACATTAAGTCTAGCTTTGTCAGACCTGGGGGGGGGGGGGGGGGGGGGGGGGGAGGTGCTCATCTCACTTTTTAAGCCGAAGCGGCAAGCCGGAATTGTCCGTAGACACTTCCAAGGTCATGTGTCCAGCATGACTGCATGGAGTCAATGCAGTACCTATTGATCTATTCACATCTGCATGTTTTCAAACTGCTAGGTTGACAGAGCTGTGCCTAACAGCCAGAGCTCACATCGCTCCACGGATTCAAACTACCAACCTTTCAGTCAGCAAGTTCAGCAACTCAGCAGTTTAACCTGCTGCACCACCAGGGGGCCTATGAGAGCAATCTAAGGACATATAGTCAGCTAAACCTGAAATCAGGGGGCATCACTTTCAAGTAAATTTGTAGCACAATCCTATACAGTACAATCCTATACATGTCTGCCAGCTAGCCCCAATGGTGGTTGCTCTCATGTATGTA